TTTTTTTTCTCGGGGGGGAGGGGGATTAACAAAAATGTGGCTTACAAAAATTTTAGAAGACAACTAGCCTGACACATTAGACCAAAAGAGTTAAGGCCACAAGTATGCCTGCCTACAGCTTCAAAAGTGTATCTTTTTCCATTCGGGATTTTTTTTTAGCCCATCTTAGAAATCTACAGTCAGTTTTACATATCTTCATTTCAGAAAACATTTGGATCGGCATTGAACATCCTTAACCAATCATTTCTGCCCTGCCGGGAGGGGGGAAGGGGGGAAGAAAAGATCTGGGCTCACAGCAGGAGGTTGGGAGCACTGCTTACTCTACCTGGTCTTGTTCAGCACTGTGGTACCTATCTCTCTGTTGGTAGCGTCGGTTAGGGGAGCGTCGTTGAGGAGAGCGGCGTTCGGGGGAGCGGCGTTGAGGGGAACGTGGTTCTCGAAAGTCTGGAGACTGAAATTGTACTTTGGATGTCTTCCTGTGACCATAATCAGAATATTGATCTTCTTCTGATTGAGAATATTGATACTGGATCTGAAAAGAGTAAATAACAAGCAACTCTTGTTACCGTGGGCTTGATATTAATCAATGCATGATGTATAAAATTATAAGATACTTTGGTGTGTTTAGAACAGCTATATAACAAACACAATAGGTTTAACTGATTTTTCTGCTTCACCATAGCTTCCTACTTGATACCATAATGTCTTTCACCAACAGTGCCAGAGGTATATTCATAGCAATGATGTTTTTCTCTAACCAGGTGAGTGGAAGAAATAACTCAACACTAATTTTGTATTTAAACCATTGCCGAGGTCAATGACTGATCCCTTAAGTAAAATCAGGAGTCAGCTAGCACAATAAATAGTATAAAAGTACACTGAAGTAAACCTTTGTGTCTTTTCTCGTCATTGAAATCAGTCGAGGTTTTTTTTTCTGCCTGTTCCAAAAATTTCAAGAAACCTGTCACACAGGTAGTGCATAACACCTTCACTATTTCGGTACCCTAGAATTACAAAGTTTTATCCACTCAGTACCTAGTTTTGAGAAATTTGACGTTAAAAAATTTTGAGTTTCACATCTTGTCAAGCTTTTAGGAATGCAATTCTTTAAATATCTTGACAACGAATCTGAATAATCTTACGATTTTAAAAGAGCAGATAGACCATTTGGTGTTTGACCTTATGGTTTAAGTAACTCAAAAAGGCCAAAAATGTCATATAGAACTTTGCAATTCTGAGGTAGCAATTTCTCTTCAAACACATTGCTATAAAGTAAGTACCTGTCGGCCTTGATCATTGTCGTACTGCTTCTCCTCCCTATATAGTGGCTCCTGTGGTGGTGGTGGCGGTTGTCTCTGTTGAGGAGCCCCAGCTCTCTGTTTCTCTTTCTCCATTATCTCAGGCACTTTCTCTGGTGGGACACCCATCTCCTGAATCAGAAGCAGGCGTTTCTTCTCCTCTTGTTGCTGTTCAGACATAAGATATGCCTTAAGATTAGTCGGGGTTAAGGTTTAAGTTAAACAGAGGTTTGGCGAGCAAGCTTTGTAAGATTTCTGAGCTGATCTGATCATGACGATGTGACCAGTACAAGAAATGATTTGGGTGCCCCAGTGGTTAAGTGAGTAGTGAGTTTAGACTCAAGAGTAAAGTTAAGCAAGTGTTGGTGACGCGAGCATCACATGGGTGGTCACTGGGATGTGTCCTTAAGCAAGGCACGACAACCCTAGCTCAAGAAACAGGGCACTGCACAGTGACGACCAGCAATGGCATGGTTGTGAAATTAGTCTGTGTTGGTGTGATATTGCTTATTCCTGTACATATTTATGTATGGTTATGAGTTTATGTATGTATGTATGTTTGTCATTGTAAACCAAATTGCCCTTCTGAGATCAATGAAAATGTAATTCATTTATTATAATTTATAAATATATAACATATACAAAAGTTGTACAAACACTTTTAGAAAAGGAATCTTTTTTAATTAATACAGAATTCTTTATTAAATGCACCTGTATATTTCTCTCACTTGCAGAAAATTCTCCAAAATGTTCCTTACAGACGATGTAAAAATGCCTGTACCTTTACTTGAAAAGTTACCTAAACAATTTATTTCATGTACCAACTGACACCTACCCTTTGAAGCATTTCTCTGTACTGCCTCTGCTCCAGCTCTTTCTGCCTTCTTTTCTCATATTCTCCAACAGGTAATCCTAGATTATCTTGAGGGGTATGCTCTCTTCTATTCCGATGCTTTTCATCCATCTGCACACAAACAACAAGTCACAATATTTTGATTTTAAAACTCACAATTTGTTTGTATGGGCAAATAGAAGCAAACCGACACAAAGTCACAATATTTTGTAACTTAAAACACAAAACAAAAGCCAGAAATAGTACTGAATATGAATAGTAAGGGCAAGTCTATACTTAGCCACACTGTGAAAACCAAAGACGATATGTTATGCTCAAAAGTTTTAACTATGAGGGAACAATCAACCAAGAGAGGTTACTTACGACCATGAACAGCTACTTATTGCCAAAAGCAGTAGTTACAAATCACCATGACCTATTGCCATGAGAGGTTTCTTATTACAAGGTGGCTCTTTCAAGACCCAGTTGTGAAAACAGAGCTGTAAAACTATTGCCACCAATTGCTACTTGCAACGAAGCTTCATGTTACCCTTTCTTTTCCCCACAAAAAAATACTTATTACCGTGAACCGATTTCCATGACAGCCTATTTGTTACCATAAGTGGCTACATGTCATCTCGACTTATTGCCAAAAGTGTTCACATATTACCATGACTTGATACTACAGTAGCTATCTATTTTTTAGAAGAGCTAGACATCAAGAATGCTTACTCACTACAAATATGAACTAAGCATCATCTCCTCATTGTTTACATCAACCACATCTCCACTGCTTAGTGAAAGACTTCGCTATATGCCATTATGAAAAGTGACCTAAGCTATGAAAGAGTTTCGAATACTGAGCAGTCGATCTGTAGATTATATAGAACTGGATAAGTCTGTGAAAGTATAAAACTAACACAGTGAGGTCGCTCATAATTCTGAGTAAGCATTTATTTGAGAAAGGTTTGTTGTAAATTCTTACCTGTGCTTTGACTTGATTGTATTCCCTTTTTCGCTCTTCCTCTAAAATCCTGAGTCTTTCTTTATCTTGTTCTGCACGATCAAACGGTATAATCTTGGGCTCATCAATTTCTTTTTCTTTTTCTCTAGCTCTTCCATGTTCCTGAAAATAGTAATGAGAACAATGGATTTTTAAGAATTTTTAAAATAATAACCAAAGCAAGATGAAAAACAATAGTTGAATTTACCATGAGATCTGTTTATGACTGTAAGCAGGGGTCAGATAGTCTGCTGACCAGCAGAAATTATGTGCCTCTTAAAATAGATAATTCTACTGTCTTTCAGAAGTTAGTTTCTAGTAACCCCCAGCCAAGCTGTAGTGCAATTAAGTAGCTAGAAGTTCATAGACTCAGTAAAGGTGATGTAAAGCTAATCCAAAACAAGATAACAAACAGGGAAACAAAATGATGGACTGGAAAACTTCAACTGAAATGAACCTATCACCCAAAAGAATCACTATGAAGTCAGGGAGAGTCTTCTGTCAGAAAGGACATTGGACTATAAAGCATTACTTTAATGCTAAACATCCAAATTCTACTACACACCTTAGCTCGGAGCAGATCGTTGTACTCTTTGCGCCTCTCTTCTGCCAGCTGTTTCTTCACTTCCTGGTAGTTGTACTTCTGAGCTGTGACATCCACTATCGGATTACGTCTAGCATTTGCCTGATTATCATTTTGTCTTTGATGGGTCTGTCCTGGCCCCTGAAATATGGAGGTGAACTTGTATTTGTATGAAGGGAACAAATAGAGAAAATGGAAGAATAAGTATTACTTCTTGAAAACAATTGGGCACTATGGTGTCCTTTTATTTTTTTTCTAATGATCACTCCATCCTTGATTCAGAGAGACAGAAAAGGCTAGAGCCCACATCCCATGATTCAAATAGGCTGGAGTGAGAGGGGGGGGAGAGAGGAGGAGAGAGAAGGTTAGTGGGGGAGAAGGGGGGAGAGGGCTGAGGCGGGGCAGGGGAATGCCACATTGGAATTTAAATAGAGACAATATTTACCTGTTTCCCTTTCTGTGTTTCCATGTACTGGAGATAATCTTGTTGTCTTTCCCTGTCATAAGTTTTCCTTTGTTCATCATACTGTCCAACATTTAATGTACCACCACCGACAAGCAACCGACTATCTGCTCTCTGTGGATATGAATGAGCAACATGGTCAAATAAAAGATTCTCACGAGATAAAAACAGCAGCAACAAGAACCACAACAACAGCAAAAGTACCAAGAAAAGGAATTTTTGTTTATTGAAGAGCACACAAAATTTCAAAAGGACAAAATGAAGATGGAAAAATAAAGTTGAGAAAGAGAATAAAATACAGAAAATTAAGAAAATTAAGAAAATTAAGAAAATAGAGGAGGAGGAAGGAGAACAACTTGAAGAGGATGAAGAACATGAAAAAGAATAAAAAGAACGAGAAGAACACATTGGAATAACCCCTTTTCAACACTAGAAGTTTACTCAAGAGGTGGCACTTTCAAAGTGTAATGTCCATCTCTGATAGAACCCACCATTGCAGGTGGAAAGCACTGAAGACTTTCCAAACACACAGGTTAAAGAATTTACTGGTATTCGAACTTGGGATATCCGCACTATAGTCCAATATACCAACTGAGATAACAGCACATCCATCAACAAAATCAACCATTTGCTCAAGACACGACAACACCCTCATGACAGCTTGCCCGATTGGGTACTCATCATCAAGTGCACAATCTGTGACAGACCGGCGATCATGGTTCGCCACTTATTCCTTTATCCAGATGCTCTATAAAAAAAAGTTATACGTATATATTATCCTGATTTTTCCTCATCACTCATATCTGTTTAGACTTTCCAAGTAAGTTGATCTGGGTCTACCCCTACCTTGTTCGCTTTAAATTTTAAAAGTGAAAGAAAGATATTCAAGGCATGAGTGTCTATTCAAGTGTCCCAGAAACTGCATTTGTTTCTTCCTAATTGTTTTGTTGGGTTTTTTTGGTTTTTTAATCATCGAGCAGCCCACTTGGGCTTCTTCACGTACTAACTCATATGACTTCCTTTCCTTGATTAGGGGCTACTGAACAATGAAAGCGATTGCAAGCACAGTGTGTTCCATTGTTTCACATTGTTACAAGTGTTCTAGGTTTTGTGGACAGATATGTTTATTTATTGGGGGGGGAAACCATTACATATAACAAAAACTAAAGGTGATTTTTCTCGATAAGGGGGGTGGGGTGTTAAACAGGGTGCGGAGTAAAAGCATTGAGTATAACCAAAGATGTATCGCAAGGAGAGGATGAGAGAGAAAGAGAGATAGAAACAGAAACACACACACACACACACACACACACACACACACACAACACACAACACACACACACACAACAAACACACACACACACA